ATCATAAAATTAGGGATGATTTCAAGAAATAATAGCCCATGGTATTTTAACTAATTTTCAGAAATTGGCTTATTTTTAATGGTCGTAACTTGAAAAATTGAAGTCAGAATTGGCTCAAACTTTCTACGTAGCATAAGTACATCGGTATGTATCAGAAAATGTAATAAAAATTGGGGGTCATTTCGGAGCCATTTTTTGGAAAAAACCATGGGCTATAGTACAGGGTATTTTTCCGAAATTTGGAGTTTTTAAAAAATGGTCATAACTCAAAAATTTGAAGTCGGAATTGGCTCAAACTTTCTACGTAGCATAAGTACATTAATATGTAGCAGAAAATGTAATAAAAATTGGGGGTGATTTTGGAGACATTTTTTGGAAAAAAACCATGGGCTATAGTACAGGGTACTTTTTCGAAAATTTGGAGTTTAAAAAAAATGGTCATAACTCAAAAATTTTAAGTCGGAATTGGCTCAAACTTTCTACGTAGCATAAGTACATCATTATGTATCAGAAATTGTAATAAAAACCAGGAGTCATTCCGAAGCCATTTTTGGAAAAAAACCATGGGCTACAGTACAGGGTATTTTGAAGTTTTTAATAATGGTCATCTTTAGTTGGAATCATACTTTCTTATAAATTGCACATATCAGACTTGTCCTTATTCTCATTCCTGTGGTTGAGGTAGAGTTAAAGTACTGCTGATAAACGAGTGAGAGTAGCAGTGCAACAAAAAACATTGTCACTGCATAGAAGTATCCGTTCCAAGCCTGCTCCTTCTTGTCATGAATATACGCTATCATCAATCTACAAGGGAACATTATGACATTCACCAATGTATGTGAATTTACCTAAGTATTAAAGGATTGACAAAGATGAGTATGTCATAGCATAGTTTGTAGAATCCACCAGTAATAATGTCTAATCCATAAGCTCTGAATAATGCAAGTACTAGAGATGGTTCTCTTCTTTTCTGTGATTGTTTATTTGATTGTCCTTGAACAAATACTAACCTGTCAATAACATTCACATGCTATAAGGTATAAGTACATCAGTATAATGTACCCTGATCTCTTCACTTCTTTATCCCATTCCTTTTGAAACCTGATAGAAGTCACTTCAGATTTATCCTCATAGTTAATATCATAAAGATCATCATGAGATAGCACTCTACGTGATCCCTTCCACATTAGTCTGTTAATTAAAAATTTAAAATCATGAATAAGTGAAAATCATCTTACGATTTGAGCCACCACCATGTCACAGAGGAGAAGAATGATGCCGATTCTTCAGGTGAAGGCTTGTGCTTTTAAAACTGAGAGTAAAAGCAATGGATGAATTAATCAGTGGCTAACTTTAAGGTAGTCATCGCTTGATTTAGGTTCTGGTATGAATGAGAGCATCAGTAGAAGCAAATAAACAAAATACTCCAGGGAAAATGTAAAAAAGTAAAACTTCTCAATAAATCCATGCTATGGAAATAAAGGTTGCATTGTAATCAAATTATAATTATTAATCTTCCGCTGTACTATTGGCACCAGATAGTGTGAAATACAAGTGATCATC